ACTAATTACGCAATCTCTAGACAATAAATTTTTTGAAAAAACTATAATTTTGATAGTATTTAATGTCTAGTCTCGGCAATCGTCTTGGTTCGTTGGACACGGTTAAACCCAAACTCAAGTTTGTTATGCCGATGCTAAAGATGTCTCATCGGCTTTAAAGGCCTATAACAATGACTAATCTAACCGACTAACCCGGATGTAATTGCAAACCGAACTTTCTTGCTATCTAATTGAGTCGAGCCTCCGGTTCCAACCCTTAATCACTTTTTCTTATCACTAGTCCGTGTGTTTTTGGGATAGGACGAATACTCTTGGCTAGTTCTTTATTTGATGAATGACAAAATCCTATTAGCTAATTAGGAAACAAGTTTTCCGCATGTTAATTAATTAGTATAGAATCGCATGCTTCATTAGAAATCGTTTTCCGAGGGTAGTACATGCCGGGTTAGTATTAAGAAATGTAAAGATATTTATGGTCGCTCAAAAACTTCGAAGTAGTTCCATTGGTAGAAACAATGATGCATTAGGTATATCTAATATCCGTTGAAGATTCCATTGCCATATAAATCTAACAAAAATGGCGTTGTCTAAAGTCCGTGGAGAAAGCAAGAGAGAGATTAATTATACATATTAATGAGCTCGCGAGAACTTCTAAAGGAGTACAATTTGTTTAGTTAAATCAAAACGAAATGCATTGTTGGCCATACTTGAGGGTTCATGAACGCGACTTGCCAACAAAATCATACTTGTATGTTTCGCATACGGCTTCTTTACACTTACACACGGTTAAATGACATATATTTGAAATTGCCCCCTTCTTTTGTTGATAAAGCCAACAAATTATTGTTTCAACAATAAATGATTTATTTCTCATATCATTTTCTTATTAATTATTAATATACATAATTTGAATTTTGAAATCATATTTATTAAAAAAAAAATTAAATTTTATCATTTGTGTTTCAAACAAAAATAACCACATTTTCGATGTAAAATGGAATCTTATCCTATTTTTATTCTTTTACTACGAAGTAAACTTATATTGAAAGCCAATAAATTGGTTCAACCAATAGTTGCGCCAATAAATACATCATCATGTGCCCTTAAATTTGACTCACATTATGAATTCTTCATTCTTCAACGCCACACCAATGAATAATAGAAGATAAATACTAGCATTTGATTACAAACCAACCCATTGACGTATAGCCAAAATAAAGCTTGAATAGCCCCAACAAACAATGCATACACCATTCATTTCTGAACTCTTGTCGAAGCACTAAAACATGAAAAAGCAACCACACAATATTTTTTTTCCTTCTTCTTTATTTTTAAGCAAGCTCCTCAAACGAAGTAGATATTGAATTTTTGAGCCATTGGGAAACTCAGGACGTAGATTTCATAAAAGAATTTGAGTGACAATGGCAATTTTCCATCACCTTACTTATGTCTTAAGTAGCCCATTCACATGGACCCAACATCTTCGGGGCTTTGCTTTTTAGACACAAAACCCTGCCGATGATTACGCACCAATTCACGGCCACGGAGACTTGAAGAGGAAACAAAGTCAAAATGACTCCAAAAGTCAAACTAATTTAATTTAGCTCATGATTATTCTCATCCGTCCGATTAAAGCCTATCTCCTAACATCTCTCAGTGGCATTGATGTAAAAGTCAAAAGGAAGATTTTAAAATTAGTCCATCTCCATCACCATATATACATTTTTATTTAAGTTCTCTAAGAATAAAAACATTTCAATTAAATCCTTTCATCAAACGTCATTAGTTAATGGGACACTTATTAATTATTTTTAGTGAACAAAGATAGAGCAATTTCATAGAAAATTTTGAACTTTTAAGGACCTGATTGGAATAAGAATTCCTTGAAAAACTCAATTGAGAGTTTCTATATAGTTTCGAGACCAGTTTGAAGTTTGCCCAATTAAACTATTCAAAGGACACCTTTTTATTCTTCCCCGTGAACTTTTGCATATTTCCCGAGTCACGTGTCCCTTATCTTTTAGTAACGAAGGAATTTTCACTTGTAAGTAGCAAAATTTAACTGGGAATAGTAACTTAGCTTGCCCTGAAAATTCTACGACCAGGATCCTTCCGCAGAAAAATTACTTTCACCTTCTCTCGTAACCTTACATCATCATCAGTCACGTAATGGGCCCCGCCATTCAAACTAAACTAAAGCATCCAATATATCAATTAACGAATCTGATGGCGACAAAACTATCTGCACCGTCTGATTAGAAAGTCCATTAACGCTCATGAACCCCACAACCCATTTATCACCTGCTCATTTCACGGGTCAATTTAAGTGGAAGGAAGAAAAATTGAAGGGATTGGACAACATATATGCCCACTGACTAAATGTTATTTTCTTATTCACTCCTTCATGTTCTAATTTTAACAATGTTGCACTTCACAAATCATTAATCAATTTCATTTGATTTTCTCATTCCTAAGGGAAAAATAGACACCTCATAGAATATAGTTTAGAGCAATTTATTTAGACATAAGAATCAATTTGGGCATGTTAACACACCAAATCTTCCACGTAAACATTGGTAAAAATGTTTGACAAAAAAAAAAAAAAGAAGCTAGTTGTAGTTTTTTTTTTTATGAAAAATACAATATAAAAAATTATTACATGACAAAACTACCAAATATATAATATATATATGTGAGGATTTTCTATTTTATTAATTGTAGCAATGATTGTAAAATTAGTTAAAATCTTTCACTTTTGATGAGAGTCGTTACATAGGAGTGATTGTTTGAGTAATTAGAATCTTTCATTAACTATAAAAGTAGTTATTTTCTAATTTTAAGAGTGTTGCACTTCACAAATCATTAATCAATTTCATTTGATTTTCTCATTCTCAAGGAATAAATAGAAATCTCATGTAATAAATAGAAATCTCATGTAATAGAGTTTAGAGTAATTTATTTAGACACGTTAACACACCAAATCTTCCACATAAACATGAGTAAAAATGTTCAACAAAAAACAAATTAAGCTAGTTGAAGTTTTATTTTATGAAAAATACAATATAAAAAATTATTACATGAAAAAACTAACACACATATATATATATAAGGATTTTATATTTTATTAATCATAGTAATAATTGTAAAAATAATTAAGCTCTTTCATTAATTCTGAGAGTGATTACATAAGAATAATTCTTTGAGTGATTAGAATCTTTCCTTGGCTATAGAAATGATCATCAGAGTGATTAAAATCTTTCATTAATTATGGCATTGATTATATAGGAGTAATTGTGGGAGTAATTATATAGAAGTTATAAAAATCTTTCATTAACTATGGGAGTGATCACCTTTCCCAATGTATGCAAAGAAATTTGTCATTCAGCAATACAAGTAAAATAAAAATACAATTTATAATTTTCATGATATGAAATAATTAATAGTTTTTAATCGATAAAGACAAATACATTTCTTTTTTATGAAAATTATAATAAAATATTTAAATTAATATAATTAATTTTTTATCCAAGATTTTTTTTTCATAATTTTGATAGTACGAAACAATTAATAATTTTTAATTGATAAATAAAAATAAACTTCTTTTTTTAAAAAAATTATAATAAAGTATTTAAAATCATTATAAATAACCAAAATTGACCTAATAAAGAACAACACTCACATCACCAAGGTTCTCATCATTATAGTTATTTTATATTTTTAATTTAATTTAGACCCCACATGGTCCTATAATCTAGCATTAGGGTGAACTATAAAACATACTGTTTGTTCATCGTTCTGCTTGCCCACATAAATTATAAACTTATTGGACCAAATTAAAAAATTGTATATAGCCGAGGACTATTCATGTAGTTTGGTCACAAATATCGAACAATTTACCTGCAAACACGTCCAAGCACACCCGCTCACTCTCTCTCTCTCTGCTGCTTTCCTGCTTTTCTCTTAAAAAAACAAAAAGGTTGTGCGAGAATGTGGCAAGGAATGAAACAATAGAGAGAGTGACTGACTACAAACGAAGCAAGCAAACTTTGAAGCTGAAAAATGCAGAGGTTTCGTTTCCCATCATGGATTCTTCTGTTTTGCTTAGCTTTCTCTGCTTGTTTAGCTAGACAAGGTAAGAGACTTTCTCTACTGAGCTTAGTTGACTTTTTTTTGTTCAATTATGCTGTAAAGATTGCTTCTTCGTGGTTAGGGATTTGGATTGGTGATTTGGAAGTGAATTTCATTTGCATTTCGGTTTATTTTGTGATTTGTGAAGTGTTCTTGTGCATGTTGTTAATGACAATTATGAGCTGTTTTTTGGTTTTTAAGTTTCTTGCTTTTGATTGGGAATTTTGTGTTTGGTTTATTTTTAGTTTCTTATTGGTGCTCGGGGAGAGGAGCAGAATGGGAAAACAATTGTGTTTTTTTTGTTATTGAAATCTATGGACGTGGATAATGACTGGATGTGATTTGGATCTGTTTGGTTGGTTAGAGGGTGTAGGAAAAGAGAGGAAGGAGGAAGTTTTACTTTTTTGGGTTTTTTTTTTTTTTTCCTTTATGTATTTGTTGAGAAAGCAAGAATACTGAACCAAGTGGGACTTATACAGCTATTTGGTTAGTTAATCTTGATTTAATCATTTCTTTGGAGACAAGAACATGAAACATATTGCACTCTAATGCATATGGAAAATTGCAAGAGAAAGAATTCTTTCTTTATTTGTTTATTGTTCTGGTTTATTGGCATATATAGTTGATATTTTTCTGCATCGTTGTCCAACTAGAGTCTAGAGCAGAAACTATTAATAGATTGTCGTTTTTTTTAGTATTAGGTTACACAGCAAAATGTGTTTGCCTGTTGGGCATTGATTCACTTTGAATGACAGAATAACTAGATGTCTAAGTAACAAGGAATATTTGGCAAGAGATTTGCACAATTTGCATCATTTAGCGAATGTGAGTTTGATCTTGTATGCCTGAATGAAGTGCTAGAGGCTAGAGCAATGACTATACTTGCTTTAACTTTATATTGTGCATTCTTCTTTTTCAGTGTTACTTATTATATTTCTACTCTTGCTACAGCACCTTGGGTTATGCGCATAAGTTGTGGAGCTCGGTTGGATGTTCATACAGCGCCAACCAATACTTTTTGGTATAAGGATTTTGCTTATACAGGAGGGATTCCAGCAAATGCAACACGTCCGAGTTACATCAGTCCTCCGCTAAAGACTCTTCGGTATTTCCCCCTATCATCAGGTCCCAATAATTGCTACAATATTAATAGAGTGCCAAAGGGGCATTATGCTGTGAGAGTCTTCTTTGGACTAGAAGGGCGTCCTAATTTTGACAATGTACCTTTATTTGACATTTCCATTGAAGGCACCCAAATTTTTTCTTTGAAATCTGGTTGGACTAACCAAGATGACCAAGTGTTTACTGAAGCGCTAGTGTTTCTAACTGATGGAAAAGCCTCCATCTGTTTCCATAGCACAGGTCATGGAGATCCGGCAATACTTTCTATTGAGATTCTTCAAGTTGATGATAGAGCATACTATTTTGGCCCAGCATGGAGTCAAGGGATAATCCTTAGAACAGCTGCCAGATTGAGCTGTGGTAATGGGAAACCGAAATTTGATGTTGATTATAGTGGGGATCACTGGGGTGGGGATAGATTTTGGAGTCCCATCAAAACTTTTGGCCAGGGATCTGATTTAGCTAGATCTACTGAAAGTGGCATCAAGAAGGCTTCAAATACACCAAATTTTTATCCAGAAGCTCTTTACCAGACAGCACTTGTTAGCACTGATACTCAGCCAGATTTAGCATACACAATGGATGTGGATCCTAATAGAAACTACTCGATTTGGTTACACTTTGCTGAGATTGATTCTTCAGTCACTGCTGCAGGGCAAAGGGTATTTGACATTTTGATTAATGGTAATGTTGCATTTGAAGAGGTAGATGTTGTCAAAATGAGTGGGGATCGGTATGCTGCTCTTGTACTTAACACCACAGTTACTGTTAGTGGAAGAACTTTGATGATCAGCTTGCATCCTAAAGAAGGCAGTCATGCCATAATCAATGCCATTGAGGTCTTTGAGATTCTTACAGCCGAGTCCAAAACTTTATTGGAAGAAGGTACATACACCATCTCGTTCTTGTTAAATGTTCCTGTTTATTTCTATTCAAGGAATATATAGGGTACTAGAATGAGGCTTGCTACATTCATGTACCCTTATTTGTTGGAGTTTGAAGAAATTAGAATTCTTCATTGCTTAAAAAAATGCTTATAAATACCATATCAAAAGTAATGTATGATTCAACACTAAGTTAATTTTTGATGGGTATTAATCCTAAGTTATTCACGATTTTACCTATTAAATTGGCATTGCTCCCAATGGATATCGTACGCATAACCAAAAAAAAAAATTAAAAAAATGAAGTTATAAGCAATTGACTAGCAACTGAAATCTTTTTCCCATGGTTGCATCATGAGAGTTTTGGATCAATTTGTAGTAACCTTTTGTTTGGCCATTATTTAACACGGGTTCCTAATTGTGTTACAAATTTTGTCACATTGTTGATTTCTATGACATGGCACTGATGCGGACCTTGTTATCTTCTGCTGTTTAGAAGTCTTAGATGCTGTTCTGCTGGTGTTTAGAAGATACAGTTCAAACACACGTTATATTGCTATAGATCTGTCATTGATCTTCATTTTATATAAAACACATGTTTTGGAGCTTGTCTTATGGTTCTTTTTGCTTAGATCTATTCTATAGATAGGAAAAGCAATTATGGAAAGTTTGGTATGTATAAACTGTAACTAATCCAATTGTTCTTCTTTAATCAGTTAGTGCTTTACAGTCACTGAAGAATGCATTGAGCCTTCCCCTTCGGTTTGGGTGGAATGGGGATCCATGTGTTCCCCCACAACATCCATGGAGTGGAGCAGATTGCCATTTTGACAAGACTAGCAGCAAATGGTTTATCGATGGACTGTACTGTCTCGACCCTTTTGCTCAAATTCATTTTGATTCATTTTTCATTAGTATTTATCTGGGACTAAATATTGTCTTTTATTGATTCCCTCTGCTAATTCATTCATGAGATTCATTCTCGGTGCATTATGCCACTCAAAATCATGAAAATTTTAAATAGTGCAGCACTTTATTGTTAGACAAGAAATCCTTTGGTGGCACTCATAATAAGTTTGCAAAGTTTGTAATCTTGTTTGTGCATTCAAATTGCTACCTTCTTAATGTTTTATCCGCACTAAATTATGCAGAAAATGTTAAATATATTAGCTTCTCCTTGTTTTTCTTTTTGCTGAAGAAGAATCTTTGTGGCCTTGATAATAAATTTAGTAAGTACTCAATCATGGCATTGTTCAAAGACATGATGATTGTGCTGTTCACTTTATGGTCTGCTAGTTTCATGATTTACATATAAGGGGAAGCTATGTCTTCCATATAAAAAGGTTTCCTGAAAAACATTTCTCATTCTGCACATACTTTGAGGTGAAAAGGAAAAGCGCCAAGTAATTTACTTTTCTGCTAACCAGACTTTCCATTGAGAATTTAACATGAAAATCCATATTTTTATTCAAGTTAATTTGGAGATCTACTAACAAACTGTACCTTCAAAATTTTCCTATAATTGGCTGATTCATAGGTCAAATCTCCAGTTAATCTGACATTAAAATTATTAATTTAACTCTTGTTGTTTTAAGATGTCAATATGAACCATCGCTTAATATGGCTTACTTCTTTATGGTCAGTGCCCTTGACAAACAAGGTTTGAGGGGTTTCTTGCCAAATGATATATCCAGACTGCGCCATTTGCAGAGCATGTAAGTTTCTAGCACGTATTGTTCTCTACTTGCAACTAAAACTGACCTTCTAATATGTAACTATTCGTTTTCATCTCTTATTTTGCTCTGACTTTGTACATTTACAGAAACTTGAGTGATAACAGTGTCCGTGGAGCTATTCCATTGTCAATTGGAGCAATACCTGGCTTGGTAGTTCTGTAAGTCTGCTTATCCATTTATCCCATGATTAATTCCTATTTCTAGACAAATAAAAATGTTCAATGACAATAATATTTTCCACCAAAGGAGATAATGTGAGTGTATGTGACTGACACTTGATAAAACATGATTACTAGATGATAATTCTTGCATTGTCATTTATTTCCTTAGAAACAATTTGCATATCGGTAGTTTGTCTAATCAATTCCTTTGTTCATACCGGCTGCATCTCCTCCGTGCATTAACGGCAAATAGAATGTTACTCTTTTCACTGATTTTGCATTTGTATTATTTGGTAAGATGCAAAATGAGGAATTTGATGTTTGCTTAATTCAATTTCATGGCAAAGTCCATGATGCAACTAACATTTAGCTGGGTTTGATAGAAAATAATTATGTTTCTTCTGTTGGGGATTTCATGCAGGAAAAATTAGCCACCGCAAGCACAAACAAAATAAAATCAAGTGAATATCCAAGTAGTCAATAGCGTAATAATGAGAGCTTTATATATATGGAATAAGGAACATAAACTTAAACAATAAAAATTAGAGAATTGTGGCATAGAAGGACCCCAGTCATCAAAGGCCAATTCAGCATCCACTGTGCAAATCAATTGGTGCATATTAGTTTGTGCATGCATGGCATTGTGGATAACATGATCTTTTCCCCTACTAAGTATGCAGGCAATGGTAGAAAATTAGAAAGAGAGGAAAGGAGAATGTTAATAAATTTCAAAATCCATTTCGTCATCCGGTCGCGAAAACTGTTTTTCTGATTGGTACTGTAGTGCTTTGGTTGGGTATTGGAGCAACATTACCTATTGATAAATCCTTAACTGTAGGTCTTTTGCAAAATACTTAAAAGAAAAAGAAGCACATAGCAAAAATAAATAAATTTCTATCTGATACGCATATCTCTTTGAAAAGAAACAGATAATACATATATAAATATAACACAATCTAACCATGAGTCACAAGCATTTTAAGTATGCATTAGACTCTCATAAAAGCCATGTAATGTATAACTTCTAGGTTGCAGCTGGTTTGTAATTGGTAATAAGTATTAAGCTGCGAGCCATGCTATTCAAATAACCAAGCCTAGAAAATTTATAAATTATTTCTAATGCTTCTAATGATGAATTTGTAATAGAAAAGGCACTTAAAAGGCTTCTTTTCTTATTACATTTTAAATCACAATATTTGAATTAAAAAGAATCCAACCATCCATAATTTCAAATAGCACTCTTTATTTATGTCCACGGTAGTTTGAATAATATATGAAATTTGTGCTGCATCATTTGGTTTTAAATAAAGTGGCTTACAAGCAAGGCATTCTTCTCGTTGCCTCCTCTTTTCTTTGTTAGGAGAGAGTCATCTTTTGTCAGTAATGTGATCCTGTGCTTAAGGGAATGTGCAGTCAGCATAATGTCAATTAGCAACTCATGTGGTTTTTTTTCTTTTTTTTTTTTTATGAGAGAATTTGAAAAAAAATTTGTTTTCAGACCCCAGAAGAAAAAAAAATAGAAAGAAAAAGAAAAGGTGGTTCTGCTCATGTGGAAATGTGAATCGACTCAATGTCAACTTTTGGGTCAAACACCAAAGGCTGGATGCAAATAGAAGTGCATATTCCGATTCTAATTATGTGATTTAACTGTACTAATAGAACATCTGATAATATATATTTCGGATGCAGGGACCTTTCGTACAATTCCTTCAATGGATCAATTCCTGAAAGCCTTGGACAGTTAACATCATTGCGAAGACTGTAAGAATTTTCACGCAGTTAACTAATCCATGGAAATATATATATTCGAGACTGTAAATTATGCTGTTATGGTGTAGGAATCTCAATGGTAACTCTCTGTCTGGAAGAGTCCCAGCAGCACTAGGAGGAAGACTTTTGCATGGTGCTAGTTTCAAGTATGTTGCAACTATTGTTGCTCTTTAATAGTGCTGGCTTTGAACGGAATACATGATATGTTGAATATGTTTACTTAAAAACTATACTCGCGTCCTTTGGTTTGTTTTTATCATGGTGAAAAAAAGGCCATGGCTAAGTTTAAATTTTTACTATCTAAAATGATACTTACTGTCGTTTGTGCAGTTTTACTGATAATGCAGGTCTTTGTGGCATACCTGGATTGCCTACATGCGGCCCTCATCTTTCTGCTGGTGCAAAAATTGGCATTGGATTTGGTGCATCAGTGGGATTCCTTCTGATGGTTGTCTGTTCAATGTGTTGGTGGAAAAGACGACAGAATATTCTCCGTGCACAGCAAATTTCAGGTAAGATTATTCATGATAAACTCCGATATGCATACATGATGGCATAATTTGGTTTCCTAACTTTTATTGATCAGTGGTTTTCATGGCTATAGTATATCGAAAAACAAAGTGGCATGCAAAGTTAATTATAAGAGACACCTCAATTCTATTTCCCTGGTGTATAAGAGAAAATAGTGTTGTCTCGGACACAGTTGTGGATGAAGTGATAAAGCTCAAGCCTGCTTGATTTTCTCTTTGCAAACTTGAGTTGTGCTTTCTCTTGTTTTTTACAGCAAGAGGTGCCCCTTATGCAAAAGCAAGGACACAGTTATCGCATGATATCCAGATGACAAGGCATTATAATCAAGGCAATGCCCGGACAGCTGCTGAGAATGGGCCCAGCTTACTATCATGATCAATCAATAATTACCACACATCAAGTCCATTGGAAAATTGCTCCTATACTAGTTTTTGGATTCTGATTAGTTTCTTTCTAAAAATGAATCCACCCAATTTGATTTGAACTCCCATTCTTGTGGAACTCAGGTTCTGCTAATTTTTGTTTGGTGAAGTTTGAAAAGTCAGAAACACCAATAGAAGATACTATCCTACTTCAGTGGCACCACATGTCATATAGAGTGAAAAATCTTACACATTCCTTCAAATCTCCAGTTCTTTGGTTCTGTTCTGGCAAAGGAACACTGTATGGCTTGGAAGCACTGAAGCATAGTGATATCAAAATGTTTCCTGGTTCCCTTTTTTATTTAATTTGTACTTAGGTTCATAGAAAGAGTGTTGTAATATATCTCCACGAAGTCGCACAGAAACTATGATTTAGATAATACACAAATGTAATTTCCATTAACTTTGTCAGCTGTTCATATTGGTTCTATGTCCAGAAGCATACAAGCGAATGGTTTTGTGCGAACAAGCACTTGTATTGATTCCACTAATTTTTTGTTTTGTACGATTATTTATTATTATTGTTTTTTAACTTAAAATTTTTGGCTCAGCACTCTATATTTTGGACTGACTCTTCTTCTACCAGGAAGAAAAATAATTGTTCAATTCTGTTATAGGCGGCCCAATGCTGACTTGCATATACATTCGAAGAGATCCTTTTAAGCAGGGACTATTAGATACCTTGTTAACAAAATTTTCTGGTAGAACTAAGGTGGAAAAATACTTCTCGGTGGATTGCATATTGGATCCTATCGATTTGGTAATATTTCAGCTCAGTCCTTATCTTTTCCGATGTTGACTCTATAATTGCCTCAAAATTTCAATATGATCCCTAAACATTGATTATAAAGAAACCTAAAAGACATGGGGTTTTTATTATTCCAGCACTATCCAGACGCTCACATAACAATGTTCACTTGATGATATTTTTGTGATTTTGAGAAAGTGATATTTTCGTTATTTTAAGTGTTTTTTTTAAATATTTATTTCATTAAGAATACTATTTACACACTTTTTAATGGTTTTTTTAGTAATACGGATGTTTTTTTCAAGCATTTTATATGTAAAGTTTTACTCATGTTATTCTTTCGTTCCTCATTTTTTCAATAATTTTAATTTCTATCCATAATTTTATTTGTATTATAATTTAGTTCCTAGCTATTAAAGGGAGAAAGGAATAAAGAGAGAAGAGGGAGGAGATCTATGTATGGATTTTTTAATGTTTTTTTAGAATATTGTTATTTGTTTTTAAAAAAATTGATATAATTTATATGAAAAATTCTTTTAATTTTTAAATGGTATAGCATGGTATATATATATATATATATATATATATATATAGCATTGGAATAGTACAAGGGGCAAAGTGGCATGTTAGGAACTAAAGGGGCTAAAATGAGGTTTATCGTACTACTACTCTTCTTTTATGTACCATCCACTTTCAATGCTCCATTATAGACGATGTTGTGTTTTGTGAGGTGAATGTTCCTCTCTCGGTCTCTCTAGGAAAGGTTTCTAAAGATGGGGTGATGTCATTGTTTTATCATCCAAGCACGAACGAGCGTTTTTATAGGTGCATCTATACGTGTCAAATTCAGAAGACATAGGCATAGCCCTGAAAGCCTTTTCAATCAATCAATAAATACATATACATACACACATATATATATATATGTGTATGTGCAGGTAGTTAAGAGCAAAGCTTAACTCTGTGTCAGAAACTTATTTAACTCTTTGGCCAGCGGCAGGTTTGTACCAACTGCTAGTAACCCATAATTTGAATTTTGGTGATAAGTTGGGGGCTCGAAGCTTAAACAAAGCTGACCTCATGGAGTGATTTTTATTGTTTTTTTTTCCTTCTTCTTCTTCTTCATTTAATTAGGTTTGATCTTTTTGGACCACATTTCAGGCAAATTACCATTCAACACTCCTCCTCCTAGGCTTTTGGCAGAGCGAGACCTTTTCACTGCGCGCATGCAGTTTTGAGCGTCCGCACAAGGCAAAAGTAGAATAGTGCCGAAACGGTTTTTTTTTTTTTTTTTCGTGATTCATGTGCTTCCGTCCTCCAAATCAGTGGCAGTCATTAATACGGCGTATTTCCAAATAGATTTTTCTTAACTTTTTACACGTATTAAAAATTTTATTAATTGTTATATATACATAACTTTCTACAAAATAAATTTTAATTAAAAATATTTTTAAAATCACACTATTTTAAATTTTTATCAGATAGAACATATATAAATAAAAAGATATACTGTCTCTTTACTAACGAAAATATATATATATATATATAAACCCATTGACATTTTTTATAAACTTGAAAAAATTCCACTCATGGATCCAAATTTTGAGGGCAAAAAACAAATGAGCCCATATTGTGGTCCTATCCATGCAGCTGACCTATCTACAATGTGTCTGATTCTTGATTAAGAAAAAGCCTCCCTTTCTCGCCCAAAATTTGTAGCAGTACAATTATACACAAAAACAAAACCAAAAAAAAAATGAAAAAGAAAATTCCTCGATACAGCCACACGTGTCTCTGATGTAATAATTAAAGCACAGTCGACGAAAGAACTAAAATGATGAAAAAAAAAAAACAAAAATAATACCCCTTCACGTGAACATGTGTCAGTTCCCTCCCTGCAAGTTTCCAGTCACCAACACAACCCCCCAAGATTCACCACCCACCATCTATAGCCACACCCCCACCGTACCCTTTCCTTTTTAAACTTTCAAAAAAATTTACAACAAACAGAACTACAGGACCACAAATTTTTTTTTTTTTTTTTGCTCTTTCATTACATTTTTGTTAGCCCCGAAAACTGAGTCAAACACGCTATCTATCCGTCTATGTAAAGTAAGATACACAAACTCAACTCGGGCCTGTCTCCTCCCACTCAGACACCACAACCCTATGTACCCTCCACGTGGGGGCTCTGTGCAATCCCTATCTTTTTCTTTTTCTTGGCTCTCTGCAACAAAAAAACAACAACAGCTACCATCCACTCACTAGCAGACACGCCACCCACTATCTGATCCAATCTAAATAATATTCATAAATCATTATAATTATTACCTTCCACAAACACACACACACACTCACCCTAGCTGGCCAGGGAGAACCCCATTGTTTTTTTTCAAAGAAAACAATTAATAAACGTAGCAGATGCAAGAAACCAAATGGCAGGCGCCGCTTAGCAGCGCCGTACAACTGGTGGTTTGGTGTTGCTTGCTTGGTCGCTAGGGCTGACATCATCATTACCGGCGCTCATGTGTAGTCACAGGACGCACATATGTAACACGCGCGATCCCTTCTCATGTCAAATCAGGCGGCGGTTATGATATTCTATCGTTTTTGTTTTATTTATTGTTTATTGTTTTAGAAAGTTGGTGTCGTAGGCCCATGTTTTAAATGATCTTTGTTTCTTTATATATTCACGTGTATATCCTTTCCTCAATTTGTGAGGAGAATCTAACGATGGAGAGCCTAATCTTTTGGCAAAAATGAATGGTAAGTGGGAACACATATATATCATTTTTCACTCGGTGATTACTTTTCAAGCACACCATCATAATGTTCTTTTTCCTTATTATGAAATTATGCGTCTTTTATATGGGAAATTATGTTCGCTTGAAAAAATATTTATTAACTATATATTAATAAAGTAGGTTGTGACTTAAACTCAAATCTCTACAAACTAGGAAATGCTATATGGTATCTTACCACGTATGACATCATGTTTTGCTTCTATACGTACAGGGACGAATTTAGAGGGCGGCTTAAAGTTTGTAAACTTTTCAGAATTCCGACTATACTTATAAAAAAAAAAATTGTGTATCTAGTTAATTTTTATAATAAAGTAAAATTCGGGTTTTATTAAATTTATTTTTTAATAATTATATAATAAAAGAAAACTATTTATATTGTGTAGTTCAAAGATTTATATGAATAAAAAAAGATGTTTTTACTAAATAACCCTCTCAAATCCAAAATTTTACGTTATAACCCCTCAACTTAAACTTCTTAGTCTCTCTATATAGGATATAGTTGTAAATCTGAGTTGATAACTATACGGCTAAGTTGCAAACCCGACCCATCGGGTTGAGTTATGGGGTCAACCCATTAAGACGGGTTGGGTTTGATACAATTTCATAAGATAACTTGTCTTGATATGCAAAAACTTGATAAGGATTTGTACGACAATAAAAAAAAAAAAAAAAAAAAAAAACAAGAATATAAATTTTCACATACAAGGGCCTATCAATTCTTTATATAAAGAAGCTGGTCGTGCCGTCCAGCCGACGATTACGGGTGACTAAGTGGGACCCTCCACTTTTATACTCTCTCTCCCTTTCCCTCCTTTTGCTCTCCTCTTTTCACTTCTCTCCTCCTCTCTCTTACTGCCTCTTCAAAGCTTCCTTTTTTATCTTCCCTTTCTGCTTCCTTCCTTTCATGGCTTCTTCAAGGGAAGGACACTACAGGGGAGTTAGAAAGAGACCATGGGGTCGCTATGCTGCAGAGATACGTGACCCATGGAAGAAAACACGAGTATGGTTAGGCACATTTGACACACCTGAAGAAGCTGCTCTTGCTTATGATGGTGCAGCTCGTTCTCTTCGTGGAGCTAAAGCAAAGACTAACTTTCCATCACCACCTTCTACTTCTGGTCTCTCTCTTGACCTCAATCTTCCATCTGATCCTCACCACCACCACCACCACCATCACCATCTTCGTTGGAGTTCAACTCCTCATGTTGGGTCTCATAGGTTTGGTGGTCTTGGTGAGTTCTTGCAGACTGGAGTAGTTTTTAAAGAAATGAGTTTCAATGGTACGGAAGCTGCAGCAACTTCTGGGTCAGTAGTGAAAAATGAGGGTCTTGGTGCTGGTGCTGTTACTGGTACTCCGGTGCCGGAAAATGTTGCTCCGGCTTCGTTTTTGGGGATGGTGCGACGTGGGTTGCCGATAGATTTGAACGAGCCTCCACCTCTGTGGCTGTGATTGAATATTATTAGTGACAATTAACTGATGATGACGACGATGACGATGGTCTGTCTCTTCTTGTTCTTCTAGGGCATATTTTGCGGCTGGTTTTTATTATTAACCTTACCTCTATCTCTTATTTGCCTTTTTTTTTTTTTTTTTCTAATCTCCCTTTTGTATTGTTTACTATCTTCTCTTTGTATCAAGATAAGAAAAGGGAGTATTATTAACAACAAAAATCTTTAAAAACTAAGAATCATGAAGGACATGTTTGTAGATATAATGTTTTTCCAGTTTCTTAGTTTTAATGGGAACTCCTTTTCATCCATTATGTTATTCTTGTCGATCTCTGCGTTTTCCCGGCCTGGATTCTGCATCCTGGTTTGGACCCACAAGGAAGAAAAGAAGAAAATACTTAGTATCATTGGAAACAAAGAGTTCTTTTGTTGTTCTTCTCTTTTTCTTTATGCTATTTTAACTCACGCGCTTGTTTTAGACGCGCTAGTACTTTGACGTTTGAGCTTGAGCTTGGCAATCTTGCGAGAGCAAGCATAGAAGTTTTAAGTCTGTCTCTTTGTACGGGGAAAAATAAATTTTAGTAACTTGATTTCTCCATTTTTTTTTCATATTTGTTTCCTGTTAAGAAAAAAATCAATGGAATTTAAGAGATTATTTTTAAAAAAATGTTTTTCTAACTAAAAAAATATTTTTTTTACGAGCTGTCTTGGTTTTTGTTATTTTTTTATTTTTTATTTAAAATATATCAAATTATCTTTTAATTATTTCTTATCAATTATTATTATTTATTTAATTTTTTTATTGATATTTGATTTTTTATTTATAATTACATTAAATATTTTTTAAAATTATTTTTATAATAAATATTTTAATAACTTATCTTAATTTTTTTTATCATTATCCTAAAAATCACTTAAACTATAATTAAATTGTTGAAAATCATTATTATAGGATTACAATTATTTGTGAAAAACTTGAAACTAATTAATCCATTGATGAATATATTATTTTTTTAATATTATTTATTTATAATTAAATCAATAATTTATAATTAATTTTAATCAGTTATAAAATTTTATTTGTAATTATAGTCAATAATTACTTATAAATTATTAAAATATTAATATTTTAAAAACTAAATGAATAGTTATCTACAAATGATAACTAATAATTTATAAAATTATTTTTTTATCTAAATTATTAGTTTAATTTCAAAAAAAAATTCTAATTGAGTTATCAAAATAAAAATGTTAGGATTACTTAAAAATTTTTTTATTAAATGTGAATATTGACTTGATTTTATCTCAAGTAGTTTTGATGAATTGATTTGATAGTTAAAAATATACATTTTATTTTTTGAAGTTAAATCTTAGAGTCAATATTTATAAAAATTTATGAAATTTTTTTAAATACATCTTCTATTGTGAGATTGTGAATATACTTCGTTAAAGTTCCTTTAAAGCTCGTTGAAGTAACAATCATAGCTTGTTTTTGTATTTCAGTTTTCCGTATCAAACAAACGTTGAAATATATTTTTCAATATTTTTTTATGTAATTATCAAACATCAAAAAATATTTTTTAAAAAATAATTTTCTAAAAAATAGTTTTTTTAAAATTATTTTTCCTACTAAAAGTTATTTTCTGCAACCAAACAGAGCCGAAGATACATTTTCATCATTCATTCCATGGCTAGTTTAATAAAAAGAAAATGGTAATGTAACGCCATCCTTTATCGTAGAAACATATAAATTAAGGATATTTATTTTTCTTAAATGTGATGAGGATTTCTATCTTATAAAGTTTGGGTTAGCATTCACTACTTGATAATTTTTCGATGACATTTGTAGGGGTGTTTATTATTCGATAAAAATCAAATAACCGAATCGAACCGTATCGAAATCTCAATTTTTATGAGTTTTTTACAAATTAAAAAAACAATTTGAAATAATTTTGAATTTTGGGTTTCAGGTTTCATTTTAAAAAAATAAAATTGGTTAAACAAAAAATCAAAATTTTTAATATATATATATATATATAAAAGTCAAATCACTCACTGCATCCATCATTCTCAAATTGAAAAATATATCTCTCCCAAATCACAATCCCAAAACCTCCCTCGGTCTCCCCTCAACTCCAGGCTCCAGCTCGCCTCCTACAAGTGCAAGTGTGCAACTGCAGCCCTTCGTCACTTACCAATCTTCTTCCTCCTCCTCAGGCAGCCCTCTTCCATCAGCCGCCTCTCTCTTCTTTATAATAGACAATCTCTCAAAGATTTGAAAAAACAACCCTCGGTCCCTCCTTTTCTAGTCTTTTTCTCTTCTCCCACTCTCAAGTTTTCAAGACTTCCATTTCATAGTGAGTCATGCTTACCTAAATAATTAAAGTTAATCTTTATCCTTTGATCATTTAATTCATATGGTCTGGATTTATAAATATCATGTTAATATTGCTAAGCTCGTTAATGTTATAAATTAGAGACCTTTATGTCATTACTCGAATGCATGGACAGATGCATTTCCTCTCACAGCTTCGTGTGGGCTCTCTTTATTTTTGCTACAAGTATAAATATACATAAAATAGCAAAGGTATTGATAGATTTCCTATAGTCTCAAATTCCTATCGTCTAAAATTCAAGGCTTCTAGAATGGATAATTTATTATTTGTTTATCTATCAATGTCTTTGTTATATATATATATATTTTGCGTAGCTTAGTTTCCAAGCTAGTAATCCACAAAAAAAAAAAAAAAAATCACTTTAAATAAAGAAATCAAAAAATTTAATAAAATCAGCCATTTGTAAAACATAAAATAAAATAAAATTGATAAAAATTGAATTAGAGAACATTAAAATTGAATCCAAAAACCGAATGAATTTTGGTTTAATTTTTTTATTATTATTTTTGAAAATTTGATTAATTGAAAATCGTTCGAAATATTTCAAAACTGAATAACCGAATGAATTTCCCTACACATTTGTGTAATACGTAAAATCAAATAAACATATTTCGTCTCCAAGGAGTTGGTTTGGGTGATAAAAGAGAAGACAATCAAAATAAGATTTATATTCAAGTTTTGCCGTTGATATTTGGGAGAGTCGCCATGTACACTTGCAAATTAAGTTCACTTCCATTCAGTTACATCTATTCATAAATAAGTTTCGATTTCAATATAAATGTCCAGAGTCTTTTCATGTGTGTTTTCCATCATGACTTATGAGTGTAGCAACTCGTTGGTGCCAATGTATATACTGAGATCAAAAAATAATTCAAACATATAAAAAATGGATTCCAAATATATATATATATATATTAAGGATTAAGTTTTAAGTTTTTCTATTCTAAGAATCATAATGCAGAAAATGATTTAGGCTTTTTGGAAATCATCCCTAAATTAAAGGGACTTTTTCGACTTTGAAAGAGCTGCGGCTCCTACTAATTCCCCAAGTTCCATCCATAGCTACTCCGTGTAATTTTTATATGGTTAAGTTTTGGGGACTGCATATTTACCGGGGCACAAATTGGGTGAGAAAAAGAACACGCTACTCGCTATGCCACAGCGCGTCATTCTTAAATTAAATGACCAAATTGCACCGTCGTCAAAAGTGGGTTGTGTGTTTTGTGCTTTAAAGTCCCCACTAGCAGCCCTTCTTCCCAGTCAAAAGGACTTCAAAGACTGTTGCATCATTTAATTAGTAGCAGTACTAATTAAGGTTGTTTAAAATATTAATAATATTTTTCGTACGAGAATCGAGGGTGTTTTTTGTTTGATTTATCATGAATTAAAAACTTTATTATTATTATTATTGACAAAGTTTAGCCATTTATTTAAAGCGTCGTCATTTTCCTTCAAATCTCATGTGCCTGATACGGCGTCGCTTCGATGCCCCCGCCCAATTACTTTCCTTTTTTCTTTTCTTTTTCTGGAAATAATTACATTCTTTTTACTTACTTTTGGATCGGATCCATTTTCCTTTGCAATCACTTGGCATGGCAAGTGGAATTTATTACGGAAATTTACAAATATATGTCATACTATACCTATAGAGAAAAAAAAGAAGGAAAATAATACAATATGGCACCAACATTTAGATATGTTTGGTTAACGGAATGTATTATTAATTTTTCTTTTTAAAATGACCATTTCAAACAAATGATTATTGGAAAACAGATTCTTAGAAAAGCAACATTATAGTGTTCATTTGGCAATATAAAATTCCAAGTTAAACATCATTTATATATTTGTTATAATTTAAGGATCTATGGAAATCTTAACAAACTATTACCATGTCTTTTTTTCATCGATAATGTTTCTATGAAAATTATAGATAACTTCACTTTCAAAGAACAAAAGACCAATGAGTTATATAATTAAGTTTTTCATTGACTAATAAGTTTTTATTTTCAAATCTTTTTCCAAAATATATATTTTTTTTTTCCTTTCTAAAATATCCCTTAGATAACTTGTTATTCCTTTATCACCGAATTATTTTACATTTCACAAGATAAACTCAATAGGTTTGGCTTGATTTGTAGGGGTGGTTTGGTATTATTTATGGGGGCGGTTTTGTTTCTATTTTGAAATTTTAGGAAATAGAAATTAAAATTTGTTTGATTATAACTTTTTCGTTGAAAAATGCAAAAACCAAACAAACATTAACATAATTTTTTTAAAACCACTTTGTTATTTTCATTTTAAAATTTTTTGACAGGTTAAGTACACTTCATGCTCTCGTATTATTTTAAAAAATTTATTATAACCTCCCTATTAAGATGTAATAGATAATAAATTTTATATTATTAGATATTGGTACAAATTAGCCCCTTTGTTAACTCTTTCAATAAGATTGATCAATTTTCTTAGTTGACAAACGCCTAATCAATCAACTAATGATGCATGTCATCTATAGGATAAAAAAGTAATTTTCTTAAATCAGTTTTTTTTTCAATTTTTTATTAAGTCAAAGTAATTAATAATCATTATAAAATCATAAAAATTTTGA